TTTTAGAACCAATTATAACAAAAACCCTCCATCAAGAACAACAATACGAGGTTGGTACAAGAAGTTTAAGGAGACTGGAAATGTAGAGCATAAGAAAAAACCAAATCAGACACACAAGTCCAACGCAATTTTAGAACCAATTACAACAAAAACCCTCCATCAAGAACAACCATACGAGCTTGGTACAAGAAGTTTAAGGAGACTGGAAATGTAGAGCATAAGAAAGGAGCAGGGCGTCCTCGGACGTCTGAAGAAAAGGTTGAGTCCATTCGAGAGGCCTTTCTTCGCAGTCCACGCAAGTCGACGAGAATTGCGTCACGAGAGTTACAGATACCTCGTTCGACAGTGCATGATGTCTTGCGTAAACGTTTGAAGTTTTATCCCTACAAGTTGCAAATCTAGCAGTACATTACAGAAAATGATAAGGTCATGCGTAAGGAATTTGCGATGACTATGCTTGACAAAGTCGACGAGGAAAATGATTTCCTGACAAGAATCATGTTTTCTGATGAGGCTACATTCCATGTTTCAAAAATCAACATTTTGGAAAAACTTTTTGTACAAACAAAATAACAGTTACACATAATAAACTTAATAGGTTTCTCTATAAAATGACACAACATGGGCATTTTTACACCTTTTCATTGATAATTTATTTAGTGAAAAAGTTGTCCAGACAATTCTCGGACATCCTGTACCTACCTTCTCTTTGGGAACCACCCTCCTCGGCCGCTATTGGCAGGCTTTCCAGAATTAGATTGACCTAGTAAGGCGACCGCTGGAGGCTCAGCGCTTGAACTCATACGGAGATGTTGACACTCGAGGATAGCTCCTTGCTTCCCAGACGGGTGGCCTTCGCTTCACAGTAATCGCGCTGTAGTTTAGTCCAGCGGTTCCCAAAACTGTGGGTCGCGAACATTTTCCAGTGTAAAAAATCACTATATCCGCATTCGCTCAGGAAAAACCTGCCCTGCAGAAAAGGTCGATTCTGGATTCCGGTTGGTCGCGACATTTTTTTTAACATCAGCAAGTGGGTCGCGCGCGATTCAAAGAAGTCTGGGAACCGCTGGTTTAGTCCATCTGCTCTGTCTTCTTCGAACAATGTTTGTAGTGGACCTCGTCACGATGGTAAGGATTAGGGCTGTCACGATTGATCGATGCATCGATACCACTATCGATAGTTGGAGATATCCATAGTTTTTTCGACCATCGCGATGCATCGGCAAAGTACTTTAAAGGGGAAATGTCCCATTGGATTGAGGCGAGTACAGTACAATACTGTACAGTCCGGGCGGGGAAAGGAAGAAGCGCGTGACCCGCATGGGCTTGTGATTTATTATCGCAATCAAATTCCGGAAATGCTGGGACTGACTATAAGAAAGACGGGAAGGGGAAAAAAAGTCAGATCAGAGACAGGAAGTGGGAAAAGAGACAATTTTTTTTTCTCTTCTGTTTCTGTCTTCGGCTCGATCTCATCAGGTGCATGCTGCGGAAGTGGACTGTTCTTATATTCCCTTGATTTCGAAACCTATATTGGTTAATCCCCTCTCTATATTCCTATCACTTTAGTATGCAGGCTTAACTTTCTTAATTTTTAACTTGCCCTGGGGCATTTATCTCTATTTAAGGTGAACTCAAAGTGAATTTTTTAAATGGACGTTGCTCATTCTAGGGCTGTACCGATGTTTCGGCAACCGACGGTATGGCACCATGAGCAGGTTTCCTATCTGGCGGTGCCGATGTCCAAAGACATTGTAGAAAAAAAATTACGTGAACGGGGGCTTGGCAGCTGATTCTCAACGGCAATAGGAAAAAATTAGGGCTGTCCTGATGCATCCATCGATGAATGGATGTCCTCATCGATAGTTGGAAGCATGGTAGGTTTCATTACTCTTTGCAAAGGTCACACATTCTCCCTGCACCCCCTATCACAAGCGTGAGATAATAGAAGCCGGATAGAGGTCCGCGGTCCGATCGCGGCGAGAAAAGATGAAATCCTCCGGCCCCCCCCCCCCCCCCCCCCCCCGCCACCACCACCCCCAAAAAAAAAAAAACCCCCCCCCCCCCCCCCCCCCCCCCCCGATGCATCGATACACTATCGGTAGTTCAGGAGGTCGATGCATCGATGTTTTGAAAACTGCTATCGTGACAGCAGTTGACTAGTGACCCTAGTAAGGATCTATCGAAATCCTCCTTTCCCTGGATATGAGGAGCAGGTTTCATGAATCGAAAGAGAATGAAAGAAAAGGTCAGGATTCGATAATGAAGGTCAACGAGAAAGGGTGATGGGGCATGACACCAGCACATATTTTCTTGCAGCACATGCCACTTTTTTTTCCATGTGACCATCGTGCAATTCATTAAGCATAGATGTGAGTAAAAATGAACTGATATAGAGATCTGGTTGCCGAGCCCATCAGCGAGTTATCTGAGGCAAGGATTCGACAGCCCAATTCTACAGAAAACGAAAGAGAATGAAAGAAAAGGTCAGGATTCGATAATGAAGGTCAACGAGAAAGGGTGATGGGGCATGACACCAGCACATATTTTCTTGCAGCACATGCCACTTTTTTTTCCATGTGACCATCGTGCCATGTGACCATCATCCATGTGACCATCATCCATGTGAGGTACACTGGTAGCACGTTAAGTAATTCGTATCTACACTCATTTTTACTTGACTATATCTCTAGACCAACGGCTCGGGTAGTCGCTCAATAGACTCCGTTCCTAAGCTGTCGGGTTAAGATGTCTTTCAAGAAAATGGGAAATATTTTCCAATCCTGCATATAAACCCTTGGTGTCCGGGAGCCCTTGCGATGAACAGCCTTCTATTTCTCCCAAACGCTTCCCGTTTTTAGGCAAACGGGACGCTAGTTTTTGGATCTACGTGGTTTTGGTTCTACGTGCACCAGTGGCGTGCCCAAGGGGAAATTATGGGGGTCATAACCCCCCCTTGGGATTTTCCGGGCACGCTACTGTATGTGACATTTCCCCACGAGAAAAGCGAAAGGGCAAATCGCAATTCTTGCAACTCGTAATTTTTATTATTTTTATCTCGAAATTATTGCAGATATCGAGATAATAAAAAAAGACACCAAACTTCAACCCTTGGATAGAAGCATCACATAATTTTTCGAAAAAAATCGAATGCTGATCTTACAGACTGGTATGAAATGGAGCCACCGGGATTAAATTCTGAACCCAAAAGATTAAACTAATAAAATATCCTATACATGCTATTTCTCAATAAAATTGATATTTGTAATTTCCTTGATTATTGTAATTAATAAATATGATTGAGTTATCCGATTATAGGCTTAACCCCGTCGAAGACAAGTGTATGGTTCAGAGAGTGGGTATGAATCATACACTCCATGGTATGAATCCAATCTTCCCTGTACTTGTCAGCATGGCGGCTGCCAGTCTTAGTGTTTATTGTTGATCATGAACTGCTCGATGTGAAAACCTCTGTCCCACGCGTCTTACGCCTTGTTAGCATTTTTCCTCTTGTCACGTGACAGAAAACCGAGTGAACACCAAAGCATTGACCTATTTCGGAGGCAATGGCAGATGAATCCACCTGCTTGATAAAACTCGAAGCCGTTCGAGATATAAGGTGAGTTTTTCCTTTTCCCTTTTATGACGCAGGCTTCAGACGAAGCCTAGCAGCTAGCCCTCTCGTTTAACTGCTCCATGGATTGCAGTTCTTCGCATGGTTGCTCCATGTCATTCCGTACATCTTCATTCGTCGCTGAAACTGATTATCTAAAGGCAAACTGTTAGGCTGTACCATTGCTAGTCCGATTCTGCTGGTTAACCCACCATACAGAAAGTTTCCCGATCAACTACCTGCGCCGGGAGTCGCCTGGTCTGCCGTTAGTGGACATTGTTATGTCTTGTACACACCCCCCTTACGTGAGGAGAACTAAGGAGTACGTTTTTGAACGAAGGAAGTGCAATGCCAGATGTCTAAGGCCTGAAAATATATAAAAGGCATCTGGGAAAAACTGGGAAATCTGGAAAGTTTGCTTATTTTGAGGTCACATCTGAAATTCATGCATCACCATGCCTTATGCATTTCTGAGAGTCTCAGTTGTCACTCTCTTCCTGTAATGGGTACCACCATTTACTATTGACAGTCTGGTTTCAAGGAAAATATGCAGCTTTGCTCATTTATCAGAGGAGCAAGAATTTGTCATTTTTTCAGAGTGAAGTATGATTATTGCATATTGTTCATCTTTCACCAAAGACCTGAGACTGAGACTAGCCCACACCTCAATTCTCATTTTACAGTCCAGAAAAGGTTAAGTTCTTGATTCAAAATGTCAAATTTGCATATTTACTCTTGTCTTATCATCAACAATATGCTATTGATATACAGTTATTTTCTACAATGTTCATTGCATGAAAATTTGGTATAGGGCAAAGTAGAGCAAGCTTTCAGATGATTTAACAGGAGCCAAAATTGGAGTCTGTAGTCAAGGGGCTGTTTCAAATCTCCAAATGCTCAAAATTATAACCCTTTTGGATGAAGTAGTTTATATTCAGATCAGGCAAAGTATTAAACTTTAGATAAATTGAAAATTTTTTCCTTTTCATGGAATCAATCCTTTAAGAACCAAACTTTTCTCCATATGATAAAATGGGGAAAAGCTTGGTTCTTAGAGGTAAGAGTTCTGAGATGTCATATCAGTTGGCAAAAATACCAGACCAGTAATAACTGTAAAAATTTTGATATTTTTAGGGGAAAGACACAGGCACTGGAGAGAGTGAGGGGTCAGCTGCTAAAAGATGTGGAAAAAGCTGAAAACGAGGAGCGGGCCCTAGCAGAGTTCCGTCAGGAAATGGAAGAATTGCTTCAGGAGAAGATGGCTCATGTTGAAGAACTCCGTCAAATCCATGCTGACATCAATGCTGTGAGTGCTTAATTTTGAACCTTTCCCTTCCTCTTTGTCACACCAAGGACATGCTGTAGGTGATAAGTTTGGGATTGATAGCTGGAGACAGTGATCAAACAGGCAGAAGCGAGCCGTGAGTCAGCTTACAAGAGTGCTCGCTGTCTTCTGGAGGAATACCGCCCATTAAAAACAGAGATTGATCGGCGGCGTCAGGAACTCCTTGGACTTAGTCGTCTTCCTGATCTCAATGAAAATGAGCGCCATATCTCCATTGAGTATGTTTCTTCTTTGGTCTTTGATGTGTGATGTAATCAATCAACATTTTGCTCTTCAAAGCCAAAGGCATATTACCCTCAAGTATTTCATGAGCAGAAATACTGGAATCATTTCTGCCTACTCAAATGCTCTATCAATGGTGAAAACCTATTTCTCTAAGCTAGTAGATATGATATGTGATTCATATGCATATCCAGTCATTGATATTTCATCAGGATAGGAAACAATTGGGAAAATGAAAATGATTGATGTCTTCCAAGAAAAAAATAATGTTGTAAAAGGATATAGGCCTCTACAAGTTGCATGAGGAGAAATGTATAATCAATATATATATTGACAAGCCTGTTCTGTGGTCATCATCATAATGGTTCATGTAGGTCTCTGGAGAAAATAGCATGTGCAGGTGAGATGGGTTGGGGAATGGGAGGGTTGGGCCCAGTTGGTGGACATTTGGATCAAGGTCCACCCCCAGCTGCTCATCAGCAGGCTGCTATTCTCTCCATGTTTCGACCACGACCACCTTCTCCTGCATCTACCAACAATCCTCCTTCTGCACCTGCACCATCTCCCTTTAGGTGAGAGTCGTCTCAAGTTCCACTGATCACCATCATGCTTCCTTTGTTTTTAATTTGCCTCAGTATACAGATTGATAAAACATGAGGGTGCAACACAATATGCACCCATTGACACCCTTTGATGTAAACTATTACCAAGAAGTTCCCAGAACTTTATAGATAACAATCCTCAAACTGGTCTGGACTAACATGGCATACTTCTGGTATTCATGACTCAGATAAGAATTAGGAAATGAGAACTGAAACAGTAGTGTTTCCTTTCCTTTGTAGTCATGGGATACAAAACTTACACCAGACCAATTAAGGACAATTGATTTAAACTCCTTGATTGATAATATAGCAGTATTAGGGCAGGCCAATATATTCAAATGGAGGTAGTTAACAGAATATTGATGCAGCACTGACTAGGTTTTAAAGTTCTCTTGTAATTTTTGCTATCAAACATCTTGCTAATTGCAAATATCCTCTGTGGCATTGCTTTTCGGATGACTTGAGACATTAGATGCATAATTGCCTTCCCACCTGTTAGAAATGTACCAGAGGTGTCACAACCCAAGGACAACCAAAATAACCTGCCTGTTTGTTAAATTTGTAGAGAAATACTTGAATCACATGCAGTAACAAAAACATGATTAAAAATTAGTATATTCAGTGTAGAAGATGCTTCCAAAAAGTTCCAGTTAGTAATATTATTGGATACTAGAACGGCTGCATCATTCAGCATTAGCTCATATTTCAGAATTGTCTCTATACAAGTCACCTCCTAGATTGTATCTTTGGACCCACTTTTAGGAAGAAAAAATTTTTTATTTTGAATATGTTCACCATACTGGGAAATCACTGAACCCTTAACAGCCTCAATGGGAAATAATTGTCCCCATAAGTTTGTCAACAGACAGAAGTGGCTGGGGACATATTGACATACAGTTAAGAAAAAATCTACCAATTCAATGTGCATGTCCACTGTTTTCTTCATCTGTGGATACGTAAAGCAGATCACAAGCCTTTGGTTTTATTTACTAAGATGAGCTGCTTTCACCTGGTGTCTGAAATGGGGAAATCAACATTAAATAATTGTATCCAAAATATCACCTAATCAGCATTAAAATATAGGGTACAATACAATGCATTACTCTTGCCTTTGATGCTTGCACCTTCTAAAGTAGTAAAACTCCATGGATTTCAGGTATTTTTAATTGATGTCATTTTACCTCCTTTTTTTTTTTACATGACTACCAATTTTTTGTTTGTAACATCAAATAAATATCTACCTTCCCTCGAAGAATCCTTGAATAACTGCAAAATGTTCTATACCTATTTCAGCAGATTTTATAAAGTTTTTATTTTTGTGTTATATGACATAAGGAGCACTGAGTGACAATTTACTATGTGTCACATGATGTACCTTCACCAACCCAAAATATGCCACCATAACTAAGGTGTTTTCTGGAAAAGGGGCATATATGCAATTTGAGATAAATGGCAAAAACTTCCCATAGGTAATCTGCAGCCAGTCAAATGGTATCTTAAACCTTTTTCAAATCAAACTTGGAATTTTAACAAATTTCTTTATCTCACATTGCTTGGATGCAGGAAGAAAGAGTTTTTTCTTGTACACCCTTTTTCCATATCCACACTGCTGGAAATTTTTTCCGGTTAAAAATAATAATTTACTAATAATATTAACACATATACAGATTTCAAATCAGCTCTTCCTCAAAGAATGGTAATAAAAATGTGAATATTCTGGACAAGTTTCATTCACCAATTACTTATCAGTGATCCAATTTTAATTTATTCATCATCTGAATCTCCCAACTGTTTCACGGAAATCGGCAACTTCTCACATCCTTCCAGAGACTTGGATGACTGGGCCTCTTTCTTCCCCTTTCCTCTTGTCTGATTTCTTCCTTATTCTGTTTCAGTTCGAAAGAATGGAATTAATCCACCAAAATCGTTCAGCAATGCAGGTACTAATGGAATCTCCATGGAGGCTGCCATATTGAAATTGTCAGGCAGTTGGCCTGCCATATAGTGAAAGCATAGGAAAATCTGCTTCTCCTTTGTTGAATATGCATCTTAACTCCCTGCTGACTACCCTATCTCATGACAAGTCACCTAAAGCAACACATGGACATGGATATGGAAAAAGGATGTATGTGCACTCATGCTTTTTTTTCTAGAGAACTCAACTTTAAGTCCTATCTAGCCCAAGTGAAAAAATTTCAGGGTAACTCCTCCCTCCTCCCCCAAGGTGCTTTACCCAAAAGGCAGGGTTTTTTTCTGAAATCACCATTCCTAAATGTTTCAGCTTTCTATCATATTTGGGACATACTTATAATCCAGTCTCGTCATGAAAATCCATCTAGAAAAACTGTAATCTGTCCAAAAAAAAAAAAATTTTTCTTAGAGAGAGTGTCGGGCAGTGGGGAGTACCTTTTTTGACAATTGAAACAAATATTTCATTCCATGAAATTTCATTGTATAAAAATGTCATGAAGCTCCAAAAACTGCTTTTAATACTTTTCATTCTAGCTATCTTATCAGCAAGTTTCTCCGTAATAAAAGTTTGGAAAAACATTACCCCCCTAAAATTGCCTCTCGAAGGATTGTCTCCCAAAATAGGATTTTCCTTTGTCAACACTCCCAACAGCTACTTGGGTTCCAAGTTTCAACTTTCCATGTCAGCCTGATTGGCTGCCACAAAAAAAATTTACTTAAAAATATCCCCAAAAAATGTGCTCCAAATGGGTGTATCTCAAAAGTAGGATTTTTTCTGAACTCAGCGCTCCAAGTCATACATTAGGTTTTAGCTTTTTGTCATATCTAAAACATGGTTAAAATTACTGTGAGTCTCCTAATCAATCACAATTATCTTTATCTACAGGGTAGACATGAAGTTTTTTTTACTCAATAATCAATGACAACTATGGGTGGTGACCCAGGGTGAGGGTCATTGCTAATATCTGACCATATCAAAATTTGCAAAAACCATTCACATGTGCTTGTAAGGCAAGGTGAGGACTTCTGAAGACATTTTTCATTTCACCATGACACTGGTTTGTAGGTCAGTCCTATTTATAGTAATACATATAATGGCCTATGTTTGTCTTCCTGTCTGTCCACTGGAGGCCTGTATGGGTAGACTTTTCTGAACCTCAACCACTAAACAAGCTTTATGGACCTGTCTGCAGCCTGCTTAGACACTTATTTCAGAATTTGTATTTGATGAAGAATAGGGGATGATTTTTTAGTTCTGCACAAGCAGCTCCATTGGGAACCAAGTTTCCAGCTGGGAGCAGGGAAATATTTCATCAGATACTTTGAGTTCTGAAGCTTAGAGGTCTAAGTGGGCTGCAAGCCAGCCTGTGAAGCTTGATCAGTTGGTGATTGAGTTTTGGGTCAGGTTCAGAAAAATTCCCTGGAAGAGTTGGATTAAGCAGGAAAAAGTTTTTGCTTAATGTTCAGTTCATCTGCAAGTGAAACTGCATCCTTGGAAAAAGAATTTTTTTTTCTTGACATCAGAGGAAAAATGGGATCATTTAGAGCAATGCTGGATCTGTTTTGAAGAATGAGGCTTTGTCTAATGACCAGTAAAGTCATACTCCTCATCCTATAAACAGACAAGGTTGTCACATGCAGTAGGGAATATCATGGTCATCAACTAACCAGAGTGATGTGAAGTTGTTGAATGCACAAGATACTTCCAAAACTTGGCCATAAACTGTATTCAACTCTAGTAATGAGTGGTTATTGCATGCTGCTTTCATTAAGTAGCTTCTAGTGCAGTCCCTGATGATAGAGGGAATGCTTGTTTTTTCTTCAGGCAACAACCTCCTCCAATGAAGGCATGTTTATCGTGTCACCAGCAGATTCACCGCAATGCACCAATTTGCCCATTGTGCAAGGCTAAAAGTCGAAGCCGCAATCCCAAGAAGCCAAAGAGGAAAGAATCATCTACTCCATTACCGCCTTCACAGTAGCAGGACTCATTTCTGTATTTCATTCTTTTAAGTACAAATACAGTATGTACAGTGTAATAGTACAATGTAAAGTTGTGATTTGTGAATCTTGTAGCACATATGTTTGAAACTCATGAAAGATCTGGGTAGGATGTGTTAGTTGTTCACATCTCAGTTTAGAAGAATCATGTTGGTCATGAGTTTCACCTGTTGGAACTGAAGTGATTTTGTACAATATTTATGACTATGTTAAATGGCTAAGTTCTTTCCTATATAGTGACAGATTTCAAAAGTATGTGAATCTGAAACAAAAGACCTTGATTTATTGATGCCAATTATTGCAAGAAAGCTACAGTCCTACCCAAAATGCCTGTCATATGAGGTGTTTTTTGGAATTCATAAAACATGTATGAATGACTGAGTGGAAGGTGATGTGAGAAATTGAGTATGTAACTATCGTGTATGTATAGTGGTTGATAATAAAGGTGCCAAAATAAATACCTGGAATTTATTTTTTTGCAAAGTGGCATGGAATTCATGTATGAAAAAAGACTAATTACTGACTGTTGCATCCACTGTATGACACCCATCAAGAATGAGAAAACGAAGTGTCTACAGTCATATATCACAATATTATGTAGTTGGTGTTTATGAAGTCATTCAGAAACAGAGCAAGAATTGAACCAAATGGGAAAAATAATCAACAAAAAAAATATCCTGTGGTGGATGATTACACAAGAGGATAACTGGCTTGAGATGCCACACCACAATGATTGTCATGATTGCGAGCCATCTTCACATAGCCTCCATCACCCCAGCTGGTTCCCCATGAATTCTTCACCAGCCAGTATGCTTTCCCAGTCTCTGCATCCACATCATAGCCAACAACAAGGACCCCATGATCCAGGTTTTGGCTGGAGCATTGAGGCTCAATGTAAACACCTGATGATAACAAATAAGAATGCAAATGAGCAAATGCAGTCATTTAGAACCGAGAAAGAGGACAAGGAACAAAGAAATCAGCAATTAATGGTGTTTATCTTAGCTGGATGCAGTATGGAGAATTTCTGATGATGCAGATCAAAAGAGATAGCAGCAACGAAGTCAACCAATCAGTTGTTTGTAGCAGCACTAAAAGTATATCTTATGGATTATATTGAATTTTAATAAAATTTGCAACCTTCTCCAATAGATTCAAGCATGTTGAAATGCTCAGAACAAACTGCAAGTTGAGTTAAACAATATAACATGCCCACTCTTCATCCTATAATTGTTCTCCCTGAATCTTACATGCATGCATACTTGACTCAGAATGGGTCCTGGGCCACTTCACTTTCCTCCTTACAATATGAAAATGCAGGACATAGGGAGAAGACAAAGGACTATGTGTGCAAGCCTCAACTCAGGTGCTTGTAGTACTTGAGTAACAAACTTTAATTTGTATTCTTAGTAGCATAGGGTAAAGCCATCAATGTTCGGACAGTTAAGCTTGCCCATCCTCATCATTCGCTTGTCCTATTCTCAACGGTACAAGCTGGAAGAGTCATTTTTTGCTCCTGGGAGCACGACATAGTGAGGTAAGAGTGCAATTCTTTTAATTCTGCACCTATTCTGATCGTGTTGATATATTAGCCTTGTTTTGACTAGAAGAAATTCCCAGGCCTAGGTTTTCCTGGGAAATGTTTCATTAGCTGTCTCATTAGATGTCTAACCCTTTAACCCCTAAAACAAGGCAATTTTTTTGTAGAACATTTCATAAGAATTTTCTGACACCTATTTGAGCAAAAACGGTCAAGAATAAATGAACTTACGGCAATCCTCGTGGACACAACTTGTTCGCGCCGCTGCTCTCAATTCTTAGCTGCCTGATTGCATGTGCTAATGTGTGCTATTTGCGTGTACCGTCTCTCTGAGTTGAGAGGCACGGAATACGAATTTGAAAGACTGAACAACGGAGATTCCCGGCGGAATTTCGAGATGGGAAATGTCTAAGTCTATCGGTGATGATTGATCGACAAAGTTTTTTAAAAGCGCGAATCGATGCGATATGACATGCCGAAACTTCGTTATTCGGGAGTCACTTCATGGGCCTTATCTGAATCCGCTGATGAATCTGGCCTTGGCCATGTTGTATTGCTTGTGTCCACCTGAGCCTGAGCCTTCTCTTATTATAGGAGGATGAATTTTTGGTTTCATTTTGTATTTTTGCTAAGGATTTAAGCCTTGTCTGAAGGGCATTCATGTGGATTGTCTGCAGTATGGAGAGGCTGGTTACTGTGGCAAGCACTTCTATTTAGTGGGCCTCCTTTCCTGAAAAGAAAGAGACCACTTATGGTCCCATACTGTCCGTCTGTGTGTCACACTTTGGTTGTCCGATGATAACTAAAAAAAAAATATGGGCCTGATCAATGCGAAAATTGGCAAGTGGATGGATACAAACAAGATACAGGCTGAGTTTGTTTTGTGGCGAATTTGCACAAAAATTGGCAATTTTTTTGCAAATCTTGGATCTGAAATTTGGTCACAGAGGCGAAGCCACGAGTACCCGCGAGCTCTTCAGTTTTTGGACCACAATGCTCATGCGCGTACAACCCAGGCTTTGGGCACGGTGCTGTGTCAGCAACCAGAGCTGTCAGTTCACTACCAACCTTTGTGGTGGATGGATTCAACCACGCACTGCTCTCTGTCCTACCGTCATCGTTTCATGGTCACCGTTTGTCCATATTTACCAAATATAAATGAGAAATTAGGTCTTTGACAGACGAAGACCGGAAAGTGATGGCATTTTGCTAAATTCACAAAATGGGAGGGTTTCCTTAACTAGAGGAGGCCCACTACCAGACTGGGCTAGCCCAGCTTATTGTTTCTACAGGCTTTGAAAAGTTGGGCATTAGTGCTGTAATTATTTGGGCACATTCCTCCAAATCAGCTTGACATATTGTCAGAGGGCAATCTGTGGATCCATTTGTCCTGCCACGCACATGAGGATTTCAGTAACCGACTTGACGATACCCTGACGATTCTTAAAAACTTGTTCCCTGAAGATTTGGCACTTATTTGTCAACTTCCAGAGGCAAAGGCCTACAAATCATAATTTTCTAAGTGTCTTAGGAGAACAGCCACTGGGGGTACCTATAAATTTATATGTTGTGGGGCCGAGAGGAAAGATAGATGTATATTTGGTATGATTTACAGGCTGCTGTCTCATCTGAAAGTTGACAAATAAATGCAAAATCTCAGTGCATTTTCTTTGCACCACCAAGTATACACAGGGTGGGCCAAAAAAAAGGCAAAGTTATCATTTTTGGTAAGCTGTCAATCTGATTGCATGCAACTGATTTTGATTACATTTGGTATACACATAGGGTGACTCAATTAGAGTTTGTGTGCCAAAGTTTCAAATAAAAATTTAAAAAATGTCAACTGGCATTTAATTTACATTTGATCACAAAAAGAGAAGTGTTCATTTTTTCTTTCAGCTTTAAAATTCTCACAACTGACAGAAACAAGCAAGCAAACAGAAGAAAAACAGATGCACAAATGCCAAACACGAAAGCACACAATTTGGTTAAGGGATGTACATTTCAACTGAAAAGGTGCTCAATGTGCCCTCCATTCTGTTAGAACACAAGCCTGTAGTCTGGGACACCACAGATCAATGGCTCTGTCAAACCTTTGAGGCAGTGCCCCCAATCTTCCATTGTAGCATCATGCAGGGATGGAAGGCCAATGAATTCAGACCTCCATTTCATCCCCACCTCAGAGTTATATCAATATTTTCGACAGCACATTTTGTCATTGGTCATCAGAAAATAATTACAACTCCTGTAATTTTGAAACCAGATGGCTGAAATTTGGTACACTATCTCCAATTGTGTTACCCTATAAGTCTACCAATTTTTAATCAAAATTGACAGCCTACAAAGAGATTGACAACTCTTCAAAAATGATAGCTTTGTTTTTTTTTTGGCCCACCCTGTAGTTATTTGGATGGACTGCTTAGGCAAGTTTTCCAAAAATGTTTCACTTTAGGTCTAGTTCCAAGGAGTAAGTTCACTCACCTTTGGAATAAAATTGGAAAGATTCATGTGAGGCATCAATGGCAATGGAAACAGGCCCAATGGTGGCAACAGTTTTCTGTAGTGCCTTCTCATCCCCTTGTGGCAAGTCTACATATCCTGTGTCATCTGCTCCTCGTGTTGAGGGATTGTAGCGACATACATCATCCTGGAAGGGAGACCCATAACCATACAGAGTACAGAAGAAAAAAAGCCCCAAGACAGTTGCTATATCTCTTGACAGCTTCAATCAAACCTTATCAAACTTAGTGAAAATGCAGGTCAACACTGTCTTCTTTCTTGCATGTTTGAGAAATGGGTCAATGGATGTGTTACTTTAATTAAAACTCAGTATTCTGCATGAAGTATGAAATTTAAAATACATTCCTTTAGTGAAGGTGTATGACAACATTGCACCAAGAAAGCTGAAACATGGAGTCATTTGGAATGCAGCAGCTGCTACAAAGGCTAGTTTGATCCTGTGTTGTCATTTTTACGTTAGGGTCAAATACATATGTAGGCACGAGACACTAAAATGTTCAATTAGACTGTCTTATGCAGCATGTTTTACAATTAAAAAATTCAAGAATCAAGAATTTTGCAGTAATTTTCCATGAACAAGAACTTCTGTCCCATTTTGAATTTCACACCAATCACAGATTACTGATTCCAATTGAATTATGAAAATTTTTACAAAGTTTATCAACCTGAAAATTAAAAAAAATATTAATACACATAAAATGTTTTGAGATTTGATTCAGGCAGACCTAAGATACATTACTTAAGTCATTCATTTTAGGCCCAACAGGGGTCACTCAGAAAGTTTTGAGATGCATAAAAAGAAATTGATGAAATATCATTTCAGCATTTACAACTTTTCGAAGTATTCCACTCCATGAATCTGCACATTTCATCCTATAAAACCATCTCTCAAAGTTTCTTTGCCAGTTCTCCTTTAGCATCTCAGAAACAGCTTCCTCATAGGCAATGACAGCATCTTCTGGACTTGTGAACTACTTCCCTCACAATGAATCTTTGACTTGAGAAACAGGTGACCAGGCAAATAAGAGTTCCTTTCAGGTAGGCCACACTCCTTGCTGTTGTGTGGAGTGGCTGGAGGAATTGTGGTGATGCAAGGGGAGGCCCCAGAGCCCAATAAATGGTCTATTTTCTCACACTTTGTGGAAAACCTTTTAGCAAGCAGAAAGTTGTTTACTACTCAACATTCACTGTTCCTCTGTCACCAAAGAATGAGACAAACATCTTCCCATTCTTCCCCTTTTCATCTTGGTGTGCCTGTCATATTCATAGATTATAGGAACTGCAGACTGCCTCTTTGTTTGGAGACAGAGACTGCAAAGACAGGGAAAGAGTAAGGATGTGGGGATGGATTACAGGGTCAGGAACAAACATACCAAGGGAGTGGAGTCAGATATTTAATGTAAATAAACTGTATAGGAGGAAGCCAGGTGCTTCAAGCAGAGCACCCTATAATCAAACAGAAATGAACATGATCTCTCCTAATCTGCTCCCTGAATCTCATTTCATAAATGATCACAGAAGCTTGGACATGCAACTAATACATAGTACCATTCATCATTCTATTTGGTTATAATACTCGGTTCACAAGTATGACTGGCCACAAGAATCTAATTGCTTCATTGGGTATGAAGAAGAAATAGAGACTCTCACCTCTCCTTCATATGGATAACTTGTCTCAGTATCAATCCCACGATTATCTTTGATGTACTGGAATGCCTGATCCATGAGTCCACCATTGCATCCATCATTGCCATACTTGGTAGAGCAGTCAATAAGGTTCTGTTCACTGAGAGAAACCAGCTTCCCAGACTTCCGGAAATTCTGCCCCTCCAATGCTCCAGTCTGCCAAAGACCATTCATCAAGGAATATGACACCACAACTCCATGACCAATGTGTTGTAGCGTCAGTACTACACTACTCAAAAATGTTTACTCTTACTGCACAGCAAATAAAACTTTTTGCTCCATGCTTATTTCCAGCTCTTTCTCATTGAACAGCCTTTGCCTTGACTTTGAGACCTTGCCTGTACAATATAGACATCTTATAGAAAAAGTAAATAAAAACAAATGAAACCTAAATGCTAAAATATACTCTTACAACCATATTCACTTGCAGTACTTAACCCATCTTAGTACCACTGGCCAATATTTTGGTCATAAAATATTCTTGCTGCTGGTTCTTGACAGGACTGAAGGGGGGCAACAAGGGGTATATTTACTAAAATGCTACATTTTCAGTAAAAAGAAACAAGGGAATTTTCAAGCATCCCTCATTGGAAAGCATGGTCTAGGAGGGTTAAGGAAAGATTCCAGTCATTACATGCATACATACATGTTATGTGGAAGGGGCTAAAAATGTTCCTTAGCGTAAAAGAATGCTTCAGTGAATTAAAGTCATAACTAACAGCCACACAGATGACATTCTCCATAAGGTGTATACTACAGGCTGGGTCAGTATAAAGTAAACATTGCACTTCAATAGCTTATTCACAAGGGGGCTCAGAATCTGTTGAGAAACAATAGATTTGAAGACAACTCTTTTTCTCCTGACAAAGGAGATCAAGTTGGTGTCTCTTTGTCTCCCTGTCACATCAGCAAAGAATGAGTTTATTGATGTTCACTATTTTGAACTGCAGTTGGCAATGGTGACAACTGCTCACTAGCCTTGTTAAAAAAATTATATACTGAGAAATAGCATCTTCCTCTTGAATGCTATTTGCAAGCAGATCTCTCAAATTACAGGAAAAGGTTCACTTGGTTTCATATTCACAAGACTGACCGAGACTGTCATGTCAATTCAGTTGAACGTATATAGAATGCGACTCAGCAATTAATTCTGAAGGAAATATGTTTCCCAAGGCCAAACATGAAATGGAAGTGGAAATGTTATCTACCTTCCACCCATGGCATAACTACTTAATTTATTCAGGTGTGTGATAACCAACTCTTTCATATCTGCAGCTAAGAACTCTACATTCCAGCCAATGTGAGGCTATTGTTTTTTGAGCATCCTGTCCCAATCCTTCTGGGTCTCTTTTTTTTTTTCTTGCTTGCATTTATTTTTCTTTTAATTTGCCCTCACAATTGATCAAGTTACTTATCAATGAATAGTAAAACTTGGTTCCCACCTAGAATTTACTTTTCAGAAGGAAAATGGAATAACCAGAAGTTTTACAAGCTATGTGGAGAGAGAAACTGCTTTACATGCACAGATCTCCTGTACATCCAAAATATTGCAACCTAATTGTAGTGATTTCAAGCAATCTTTGCCCCAGGCTACTTGCCCTCACAATTTCAATCTGCAATTTCAAATCTAGAACAAATAGCAATGTCTTCAAAGAACTGAAAACACCACTCCCATCATTGACATCAATAAGAGAAATTTAGAAGACCTGCCTACAGAGATGGGGGATGCATCAGATGCTTTTTTATGATTCCTAGAGAAAAGCAAGAAATGAGTGCTCACAGCACTGAAGGACCAGCATGAGCCACAGTGTCCCTGGTCCTTCACAGGAGTGACAGCACCGTTCTTTCGCCAATCCACTTGCTTTGGAAGTTCCACATGAAGTGGTTCAATCCAAGATGAAGCAAGGACCGGTCTTGATATGTTTGACAAAGCCACCTTTCCATTGAATCCATTCATTTTCTCCACAAACTCATGGTGCAGCTGTGAACAAAAAAGTACAAAATATAAACACATCAGCAGAAGTGTCTATTATGCATTTTCCAAGTCAATTGTGGTGATGGAGATATCACATATAAGAAAAAATTCAGAGGCCAGATTCAGTCAAAAATAGGGTTCATTCTAAAAATGGGCCACAGCTGCAATACAGGGAGGTCAAATTTTTGGTGACAGAAAAGATTTGGTAGAACCATCAGCATATCCATGGAGTGCCCTTCTGCTGATGTAAAGTCTGTATCAGAGAATCTCTCCAGGTCCAATTAGACAAAATATGAATTAATAGCATGACTCAAAAAACTGTTTTTATGAATTGTCATCCCATAAAACCTTTACAAAAACTGACAGCTCCATTTAAATGTCAAAAAAATGTCTGAGCAAGGTCCTGTTAGGTCACCAAGTAGGATTCATTCTGCCTGGTATAGTCTATCCAGTCCAACCTTTCCACACTTTTAACCCTTAAAGGAGTTGTTAAATGCCATCTGTTTTCATCTCTCCTGAGGGGAGGGGGTGATTTCCCTTTGACCCCTCTGCCTGACATTGGTAGGACACTCCTGGAGAGTGATGGGGGGGGGGGGGGGAAGGGGCAGGCATCACATGAATGATTTTAGAAATCTTGAGAAGATGCCTGACAAGTGCCAGGAACACCTAGGTCTGCCAATGATAGCCTTGAGCTCCTTTCTGATGTTTTGACAGGCTGATGACAGCACAAAATTAATGAGCTACCATAAAACAGGCAATGCTAGCATTGCAAAGTTGGACCAGATAGACTAAGTACATAAATTCACAAAACAGTATTCATTTTGAGCAGAGGATAATTTTTGCCTTTGATATAGTGCAAGAGATTTTCCAAGTAGACAAGTCAAAAAATCCAACCATAAAGTTACCGAAATGTCCAAAGCTAGATAGCCATGAGAGAAACTGGGAAGGTAGTGCAGGTCAGCCTCACATGCAACTCTAAGAAGATGAACCAGTTGCAGATGCATTACCATGCACTGGCTATATCATTAGTTGTTTCTAGTATGCATGTTGCAACATCACCACTGCCTGCAAGAACTGAACCCCACTCTTCGAAGGATATGCCCATAACTTGTCTGGAAGTGAGATTATAGCATAACTTTTGTGCATTAAGAAGAGTGCATTACAGCAAGACTTTTACAAGAGGAAAGAGGGAAGGGCTACTTTTTTCATGATCTCTAGCACTTTCATTTCCAAGTGAAACTTGGAGAACTACACAGGAGTGAGGATGGGTTAGGGACACTGGGGCATAGAGAGTTTCAAGTGAAGAACAGTACAAAATGCCTGCCACAAGAGGACACCAGTCATGCAACCCATTAGCAGCTTTGCAGTAGTCTTTTCAAATGTTGTACACACATGGAAACTTTTTTTCTATTCCTATCCCTATTCCCTAAATAATAAATCAAACTGCAAAGAATAAGAAAGGAATATGAGTGATGTGCATCACTGTTATGCAAGTTCATGCATCAGTAACAGTTGGCAATGCATGTGAAAACCATTTAAAGGCAATTCCAATTTGCCAACAGCACCAAGCCCCCCTTGCTACATTGCTGAAATATAGAATGAGGGCACCTACTGCCATGATTAAGGGGGAAAAAGGCAGAACAAATGGAAATTGCAACTTGACTCGATTACTTTCAGTCAGCAGCAAATGTTACTTGTAAGTTATTACCTTTTGGTCAAATCCTAGTAAATGTAACTGATTACTTCTTTGAAATAACTTGCAGTCTCTGCAAATACCAGATTAACTTTTCCATAATTTCTTTGTTGCTCTGTCAAGACTCCTGCAAAAGTTTTCACATAATGACAGACAAAATCCATTTAAAATTTTTTCTTAATAACTATTTCAAAGAACAATGTAAAGGGGGAAAAAAATGACTAGGCCAAATATTCATGATATTCAAAATATGGAAAGACTTTTTATGGAATGGAACACTGATCTCCATAGGAAAATTTGTATCTACCTAGTTGATAGGATTCATAATGATTCATAATGTAACTTTAACTCAATGAGCATCATCTTTTCTTTGCCTAAAGAAAAAAAACAGTTTGCCATATAAAAGATTAAGAACCAACCAAATCAGCATATTTGTTGAGGGCAACAGAGTAGGTCTTCCCTCCATGTGCAAAGAGCTGGTTGTGTTTGGCAACTTTGTGTCTGTTCTCCATGTAGATCTTCATGCGGAACTGTTCCTCTTCTCCACTCTCATACTTCTTACCATGCTCAAGCTGGGAAAAAAATAAAAAAGGCTTTCATTAAACCAAACAGCCAGCAACAAGCAATACATTTCAGAGTTAATTATAAAAATACTGAAACCAAACATTCTAGAGCAATTTCCCCAAGTATGATTCATAACTCAAAAGATGAAGTTTTATAACACAAATAGAAATACAAACCACTACATCAAAATCAAGATTGTTGTAAGAGATGAACCCTACAAAAAACATACAAAATTATCAATTACAGTTGACTCCGCTTAAGTATTTTAGGAAAACCAACCTCTTTCTTTTTTCGGAATAAGGGAGTGCGTGAGTGGGCTGAAAAGGGAGAGTACATGTACCATTACACCTCCAGGCTGATATGACATGGCCATTGGGAATGCTGCCAAATCAACCCAGCCTGCTAGCAGCCAAGACATGCCATAGGTTAAGAAACCAGAGGAAATCTCTTCATAGCCAACTCATGCTTTTCCTCATGAAAAATAATAATTATTAGATACCAACCAGTTAACTTGATGCTCACAGAAAATTTCAGCCATATAAACTCATTGATCCACTCATAACTTACAGGGCTGACCGTGAAATGAGGTTTTGGTAGATTGTGCTTTTCACTCATATTTTTTAACACGCATAAAGGCAGATGTATCTTAAGATCTGGACATGCTGGGAGATAAAAAAATAACTCAAACAACCCTAACTTTGTTCCACGAGTCATCTGATAGAGAGAAATGAGTGTTCCACATAATCACCTGGGGAAACTTTCCACAAAAACCAGTTTTTATCATATGCACAGCATATGAAGGAAACTCATTTTTCATGACAGGCAGGCCAGTCAAACCAGGGCAAAGCTAAGACCTTGCCTAGACCTATGCCATTACATGCTAACCAAGATTCAGCTTCACCCTTTGTGAACAAAACCAATATGAACAATGACTGGTGTATACTCATGATGAAACCAGTTCCTTGCACATACTGGAGATGGATAAGCCTGAGTCCAGATTACTCAACTCACCTTGAAAGTTTCCCACTCATCCAAGACAAGGTTGATGAAGGACACTCCAACAACAACATGAGCAAAGAATCCCAGGGCCAGAATAGCTCCAACATACATGTGCATTGTTCTTCCCCAAAAAAGGCACTTCTTCGGTCACAAAAAGAGCTCCCTGACCAGAGCACAATTCAATCAGTGGAACTCCAACAAGAATTTTAAAAATAATTACAATGGTGAATAAATTCGCATGCATAAAAAATCATCATTCCACATGTAAAGCCAAGAATGTCACAATATCATAAGTAGTGACTCAGCTGAAGACCATGCCTGTACCTAATAGTGACGCCTAAAGCAAGACCTAAAGGAGTTACTGCATATCGGTATGGGCTAGGCTATGTCTATCGCCAGGCCGATCAGGAACAGGAAGGTCTGGGAAAGGCCTAACGTAGGGAGCATTTGAATGGCCACGGAAACATTATGGCTCCAAAATACGCAATAAACTTTTGTCGCAGCACAGGCCTAGGCCAAGTTGCGTCACCCCTCTACAGCAGTTCATATTACTCATCAAAGCCTGACTGACACGATGCGTCGATCACATGTTGAAGATTAAGGGGGCTTGTCTGGCTCCGAGCCAAAGACAGGCCTCTGTCTGAAGCAAGTTCACTCGTTCGCCCGCTTTTGCCGGGTGGCGTCCACAGCGCTCAGCTCAAGAACCCGTTCCACAGATTTACAAGTTAAAAATATTGTGCCTACAGCAAGGGTCATGCTTTATTACTCAACCTCAACAGCAGGGCACGCTGGAAGGACTTCGTAAAGAAACACAACCTGGCAGGAACAGACCCCTGATCAAGAGGCGCGGGACCCGATGGATCCGTGGAAAACAGTGACCAGCTTACCCAACACAGACTATCTACTAAAATAGACATCTATACACAAAGTATATACAGGAGTTACAGAACCAGTCCAGAAACTTTCTTATCACTCCCCGTTGAAAATTGGAGCACCATGATTCTAAGAATTGAAATTACAACACAGACGCAGAGTTGGGAGCCGTTGAGAAAATGAGCGAAGGGAAACGAGCTTGTTTACATCAGCGTCGCGACTGAGGTTATGGGAGAGCCGATGGGAGGGAACCCGCTTTTAAACTATGGGGTCTCTAGGTCCGCGCTCTGGGATTATGTCCATTTAGTCTCGTATTCCAGGAAAAAAGATCACAAAAAAACATTGGTCTTGTATTTCCGGGGAAAAAAAAGCGGCAGATGAGCTTGACTCAGCTGAGAGGTCAAGTGAACACGTTGCAGCAAAAGAAATAAGACGTAAAGCATAATTTCTATATCCTCTTTATTCCTGAAATCCTGAGTTCATAACATTTGCGTTTTTTTTTCTTATTTAATACATATTCAATGAAGTTGAAAATAGAGTTTTCAAGAAATGTAGGCATACAAAACAAAGCAGACAAGCCACAAGCAATGAATTCAAAGAGACCCTTCAATGTGGTGCAGCTGATATTTGAAAAAGAATGCTCTGCATGGGAAAATCATTGGGACTAATGAGCGGATTTCAATTTTGAGATGAAAAATAACCCCAGACCCTGCTGAGCCCTTTCCGAGACCCCCATGTCCCCCCGCTCCCAGTTTGAGAACCACTTTCCTTGTTTTCATCCCATTCATCGCTGAAAACAAATGATTCATATTCCCCTTTGGGTAAACATGAGCCGCGTTCAAGCACGACCCAGCTTGCCTGGCAAGCTGGAAATTTCCCAGAAATTAATGGTGCCTGAACGGCACATCCCGCCCATGCGACCCGGGGTGCCGGGCAGAAACCGGACCAGCAAATTGGTGGGTTTTTTCTCGGGAGGCTGGGAAACTGGTTTTGCCTGAACACCCCCTTTCATACACAAGCGGGTCCGGCCTGCAGTTTGGAATTCCCTCCCACCAATGATGGAAGGTTTCACAAATCCAACATGGTGGCCGTCTGTAGTTGCCAGAGACATGGTAAATATAACTAGACTGGACAGGGCAGTCGAAGATCACGGGCCAAAAAAGAAATGCGATGAAATTCTACAGTGGTTTGGACTCCATTTTGGGCAATTGAGCTGCTACTCAGCCACTGAATGTTATAGACGGCGTGGTGGAATAAATATGTTACTCATTAAATCTATATAATAGCTAGCATTACACGATTGTATTATTACATATTACATATATTATTGAATTGCTATTTTCACAAACTACATTGCAATATATAACACACGGAAACATGAAAAAACGACCAACCTCAATGGCACCCTTCCTCATTCGGAAGTTTTCGGTCCAAACTTCTGGTCTCCAAGTGATATAACCATCCCACCACGTTTTTTCTCTTGAGCGTAGACTGAGCGATAAATCGGAGTGCGCGAATTGAAAGTGCAAGTAATGGCTGCTTGCAAATGAAATCGCTGTCAAGCAAAAAATATTAGCAAACATAGTCTCCGATTCCTCTTTATTCTCCTTCGATGCCTTAAATCATGCAAGGCTTCCTGGATCCGACTACGTCTCAAGCAAAGAAGGAAATTCAGAGCGAGAAGAGCGTTATGATGTATGACAGGCAGAGCACGTGGAAGTCGAGCAGGACGGGAATGACAACAGTCCTCCCCATTCCTGGGAATTTGCGCTCTGCGGCTAGGATTAAGACCTCGCCACCCCTCGGTTCATCATTCCCAGTATGCCCGGCAAGCTGGGATTTTCGTGTGCCTGAAAGGAGAAATATCAGGCATACCCCATCTTCCCTACACATGGATTCAGTCCCGTCGATATCAAGTAATCATTCCTCGTGGTTGCGAGACGGCTAGAATAGGCGTTTTTGCGTTTGTGGAACTCATTCTTGTGTGTGGGGGGGTTCTCTCTCTCTCTCTTTCAATTCCACGTTCAGAGATACGGAGATTCTGTGAACGATACCATACCATAACCATGTACGATACTAGAAATAAGCCCGAATACTGAAACTCCGATTTATTAACGACTCTTAAATCCACGGACTACCATGGAGACAAAAAAAGCTCATTTAATAAAAGACCCTCTTATCTCGCCTAAATGAGATTTCAGCATTCGGACCTTATTTGTCGGGGAGATTCCATTATTGAATACTTACTTAAGGCTTGCGAAATTAAATAATGTTGAGCGAGCGCGAGTGAGCATCCAGTCGAGTAGAGCTGTGTGATTCTCGAAAATGTAGAACATGGTGCTGAAAACTCGATACCCTCAGGTCCTGCGGTATTTCAGGAAAAACCAACTCTTCCAAGGAAAGAAGAGTGAGCGAAGCGGAGAGAACATATACCCTCACCTTTATGCGCTTTCCCGCCCCTAGCCAGTTCATGGTATGGGAGGGGGTCGCGACAGAAACACTTCCGTGCTCGGGAACCAGACGCTCCGACACCCTTGCGGCTGCATTCGGCTAGATTCCTTTGGCCTTGGCTTCGACGAGGGACCGATGGAACTTTACCTTCCTCTGCAAGATAACATGCCTATGCAGCTAATAATCCAATATTAACATTTCAGCTTCCATTGCACTTCTTCACTGAAGCAAAAGTAATAGCTATTTGAAAGTTGGAAGTCAACACAAGCCAGCATTCTCAACACATTCAAACCCGTGATCGGAGATTACCGATGTGAAAAATCTTCAGGGGTAGCCCGGAATCGGAAATCTCCAACGTGGTACGTGTCATCGTTAAACTTTTTTTAATACTGGATTTCTGAACGCTGTTCACGTGATCATGTTCTCAACGTGTTCTACATACTTGGGAGTGCATTCTAGTTACAAAAGTTAACTTCAACAAGCAGCTAATGATTAATTAATTTATTTGTAAACCCTTGATTTTTCAACATGGCTAGGCTGTAGGGGTTGTATTAAGAATACTTATACTGGGACTGAATGCGTTAACTATGCGTTGCATAGAGGTCACGGGAAGGTGAAAAGACGCAACAAATCTCATTTCTTTCATTGCCCAACCTCAATCATGTTCACAAGAAAAATATTTTCCGTGGATTTTTACTCCATAAAAGTATTAACCCAGTAGACAAATTTTTTTTAAGGGCTTTGTGTGACTGAGATGAAAGTACAACTACTACTGTTCGGGAGACTCAACCTGACGCCAACTTACGATTGCGAAGGCAATGCTAGCAGGCTAATGACTGTGTCTATTTATTTATGTTCAAGCAAACAGAGGATCACGTGGCTTGAGCTCATTCATTGGCAAATCACGAAAATAATGCAACGAGAACTATGAGCAAAGCACTTCTCAGTTTACGTGCTGAAACATGTTTCAGGGGAATTCGAGAAGCCCCTCGTGAAACGCCACCCAAGGACGCAAGGGAGCGAAATGAGATAGGCTCTTCCAAGAAATGCATGCGACAAATGAGTCAGCAGTTCTAGGAAGCACTCGAAAACCTACCCTCCCCCTGCCCATTCCACCCCTCGCACAGGGGAGGTGGGTGGTCGAGGGGGGAGGAGACCATACATGGTTGAAAGCCAACAGCGTGAATAGAAGTCGGGAAATCCCGAAGAGGCGGGAAAATGGGGAACCTATTGTTTCTCACGTTTTTTCTGGGGGTCGCGAGTTGTTTGCCTTCGTGATCCTGGACCCTAACAAGTTCGAGGATCCTCGAGGCAAGGGGGATGAGACCGATGAACGCTGGTTGCAATGCGCACAGGAAAATCCTATGGATTCGGATTGACAGTTTGGTTCCACTTCGTTATTTTAAAATATTGACGGCCATGTGACACACCGGCGTGCCAAAACAGCAGCAAGTGGCAGTCTTGGCGGTCAAAGTGTTAAAAATTCGGTTTGTACCTTCAAGGAATGACCATTCTTCTTCGGACTGGCTAAGTGCAGTTGACAAAGAGTTAGTGCGAATGGGATCACAATGCCATTTTGTGGCGTATCCACTCTGAAATAAATGCGAAGTGAAACTGAAGATGTACATTTAATCCGATTCCGCTTTACGATAGTTAAGGGATGACTCGGCTTGATAGAGAAAAACCTGTTTAACATTGAATGTAGGGAATGCCTCATTCATGCTGGACTAAAAAAATGTCGGCTAAGCTATGATGTTTATCATAACGCCGCAACTAGTCATGGTATGAGGAACTAGTGACGTATTCCCGGTCCAGTGGTTCAATAGTCAAAATAGTTAGGA